GATATATTAAGAACTATGTAATGTTTTGAACGACCAACAATAAAAAAAAAAAAAGAAATGGGTTGAATTTCCGTAAAAAAAAAAAAAAAGAAAAGAAAAAGTTAAGAGTACAAAGGGCACTCCCAGACATAAGGACACACACAGAGGAGAAAAAGCTACCTCAGAGACATAACAAGAACAAATCACCAAAAACAAAAAAAAAGAAAAAGAAAAAAAAACAAAAAAAAAAAAGAACAAATCAGAGAAGAAAATGCTGAAATTATACTAAAACAAATTGTCCTACTTTCATCATGATTACCAACTATGAACATGTGAATGCCCTCAATGAACTTTATTAAGCTGTTTACATTTCCTACACTTTAGATCTGTGTAAAGAGAAAATCAAATCAATTACATAAATCAAAATTCTGGTCCTGATTTTCCTTGCCCTCAAGTGATACTTTAACATCACTCCAGGTCTATAACAAACAAACAAACAAAAAAAAAATGCATACACACAGATTCCACAAGACATGTACAAGAATGTTTACAACAAAACAATCTGCAATAACTCCAATCTGGAAACAACCCAGGATATGTCCAACAACAAAAGAAGGAACACATAAACTATGATACAGTCATAAGATACATACACAGCAAATAGAATAAATTAACTATATTCATAACACTATGGATGAATCTCAAACTGTAGATAAAAGAGGATGGTAACAAAAATGTATGCAAATGATTATGGTGCTAATATCCAGGATAGTGATTTCCYTTTGGTAACAAGATGCTAATAATGTTTCTTGACCTATGTGCTGAATACATAGATGTTTTCATTTTGTGAAAAGGAACAGTCTGCCGTACACTGATGGTTGTATACTCACTTTCCTATGTAAGTTAGACTTTAAGGAAAAAAAGAAAAAATGATTGCAATCCTCTAATTCAATCTATTTAAATTACTTCTATCATTCAAATCTCAACAGTTTATCTTTATTAAGCAATCTCTTCTAAGATAATAATGTGGTCTAGGGATTAAACCTAGAGGTGCTTAACCACTGACTCACATCCCCAGCCCTTTTTATTTTTTATTTTGAGCTGGATATCGCTATGTTACCTAGGGCCTCACTAAGGCTGGCTTTGAACTTGAGATCCTCCTGCTTCAGATTCCCAAGTCATTGGGATTACAGGCATGCGCCATCATGTCTGGCAATCTTTCTTTAAAAGTCTAAAATACTTTGTACTCTAAAACCCAGATCTCTAGTTAACTCAAAGATTTCTTTACATTCAAAAACTTATTCTACTTTTGATCTTTTTTCTTATGTATATAGTCTATAAATTCAAAATTAATGGGGCAACCATTCAAAGAACTTAATCTAAAATGTAATCTATACAGTGATAAGTAAAAGAAACCCACAATAATTAATATCATTATTACTATCCCAGCTTTATAATTAAATTGTTTACTCCACAGAATCAYCTGTGAAACCAATAACATGTAGATGGGCACAGTGAAAATACCATGAAAAAATCACCAACATACTAATAAAACTCAGAGAAAACTATCTGAGCTAAACTAAAACTGCTTTTATTCCTCTGTTTCCACTTATCAAGTAAATCTAACAGAATAAACACTTTCAGCTAATTTGCTTGTGAATTAAATCCACAATTTTAGAAATATCTATGCAATATCATCACCTTTAGCTGATGTATATTCAATATCAAAAGTGCTGTTACTCTTATGATTAGGATGCTATCATTAAAGTATTTTTAATAAAAGAAAACACCAAATTTATTATCTACAGAGTAAACAAAAATACCAACTTACAGCACCATCCTCAAATTCAATTACTATTTAATGAATATTTATCATTAATATAAAAAGTTGCTAAACACATTAGGATATAAAAATATTCATAAGGTCCCCATCCTCTATGCTAAGATGAAGATATATCAAATAATTACAGTATACTTATTTACCGGTATGCAGCACTTAAAATTTATATCTCAAATTTGTTTTCTATAGTAAGTCAAAAATTATGTTTCCATCATAATTGTAAGTTATATTATTATAAACAGAACACAGTCAAATGAATCTAGGCTGTGTTCCCATTTCTCTTTAAAAGACAGGCTAATAGAGATTTAACAACAAAGTATCAGAAGACCTAGATTTTAGTCTTGCCAGTAAAACTGAACAGTTCTAAGATCAACTGCAATTCATTAACTTCTTTGGACCTTAGCTTCTTAATCTGCCAAAAAAAAAAAAAAAAACACAACGCAGCTGATTAATGCCACCTTTAAAAATCCTTCCAACTCAAAGATTCTAACAGAAAGCCAAAAACTGGAGAAGGTTTAAAAAAAAAAATCAATAGGAAAAGCAAAATCACAATAGAAGTGTTATAAGCAAGAATTTCTACTAACTACATCATAAGAAATGGTCTCCTAAAGAATGTAGAGTAATAAATGGATTTAAAAAAAAACGTGGCATATATACACAATGGAATTTTACTCAGCAATAAAAGAGAATAAAATCATGGCATTTGCAGATAAATGGATGCAGTTGGAGAAGATAATTTTCAGTGAAGTTAGCCAATCCCAAAAAAACAAATGCTGAATGTTTTCTCTGATATAAGGAGGCTGATTCATAGTGGGGTAGGGAGGGGGAACATGGGAGGAATAGATGAATTCTAGATAGGGCAGAGGGGTGAGAGGGAAAGAGAGGAGGCAGGGGGTTAGCAAGGATAGTGGAATGTGATGGACATCATTACCCAAAGTACATGTATGAAGACACAAACTGGATGTCAACATACTTTATATACAACCAGAGATGTGAAAAATTGTGCTGTATATGTATAATAAGAATTGTAATGCATTCCGCATACATTTTTTTAATCAATTAAAAAAAAGAATGTAGAGTAACTAATCCAGGACTAGAATCAGAATTCTGGGTTCTCATGTGATGACAGGGAAATTATCTATCCATTCTTAGTTTCCTGAGCTATAAAATTGAGACAATAACATCTACTCTGCTTTCCTTTCATGGTTACCATGAAAATAAACTTATATATAAGTGAGCCATGTAAACTCTAAAGTWGCACAAAATTCTCATTACTAAATTTTCTTTGTATGAGCTTTAAAAATCATTGAGTTTTCCATTTAATTTTCTCTAAAGATTAATGAATTAATTATTGAAAATATGGCACATTGAACATTACCAAGACTCTTGATATAATTTTCCCAAGACACTTAATCACAGAATAACTGACATCATCATCCATTGATTCCTATATTCTAGATATTGTACTATTTCTAATTTTAACTTCCCCAAAACTATATAAGATAGTTACTATCATTATTCCTTTTAAAGATAAATAAACTGGACTCAGAAAGATCAGTACACTTTCCCACAATGACAAAGCTAGTAAATGGAACTACCAGAATTCTAATTCCAAGTAGACTGATTCTAAAAYCTGAGTCCATAAGAACAACACTGTGTCACCTCTACCTCCCTAAMATCAATACCTCCTTAATACTAATGTTCTAACACTTCCAGGTGCCTTACAGTTTTAGCCCTGCCACAAATCTAAGTAGAAGGATAAAACTATCATAAGCAGTAAAACTTACAGACTGTTTTTTCCTTGTTTTATCATAATTATTCAATTGCAGATAATTTTTAAAACTAAATTTCCCTGGGAGCTGAGTCTGAAGGCATGATTTGAAAAGGAAGGAGAAAGGCTCTCCAAAAGCTTTATATAAGGTCCCTTTCCTCCTTAATCATTCTGCTGTTTCTACCAGCTAAAAGCTACTACCTAACGCAGAACTCCAGGTCTTCTATACCCAGTGAAGTTAAGAACCTATTCACTAAAAACAACAAAGACTGAGATTGCTAATTCTAGGTTTCCCCCAAAGATAAATTTATTGACTGTCTTGACACTAGAGATGATAAAAGTCTAGATCACAAAATTAGGCTGGGTTAGCTTATTGCTCCCCAAACTGTTTCTATAAAACAGTGTTTCAAAGAGAACCTTGTTTAACTACAGTTATTATTACTTAACCCAGCATTCAAAAAGTTAAAAATAAATTYATACTTACTAATAACTTTAGTTAAATTGCCGGAAAAAAATTATAAAGGAGCCTATAAGGTGGCTCTAAGGATACACACATAAAATATAAAATAATTTAAACAAATAGCCAAAATAAAAACAAATTATGTATACAAAGGAAGAAAACTTTCTACTAATAAAATATTAAAATGAAAAAGTAATATAATTTACAACACTACTATTATACGCTGGGCTCACTGTAATTAAATAAACTTTTCATTGAGTTATCAATACAACACTTGATAGTCATGTAAGTTCTTTTTAATTATATTACAAAGTATGCTTATGTGACACAAATATTTTGTCTCCATCTGCTGGAAAATAATAGCACTCAACATTATTACAAATTTTGTGGCTGCTGGCAAAATAGAAATTTCTAAAGATATAAAACCAGATCTTTGTTTACATACTATTTTAGTGAAATTTCACAGACACAATACTTTTTACAAAACAAATGAATTGTATTATTACATCCTCACAGAATCATACTTAGCATTAGCACATTTGAAACAAATTCATACATAAAAGCATTATAAAACAGGTATAAAACTGAGTACTAATGATTTAAATAAAAGACTTAAAAAGACTGCAAATATTTTATCAACACTTTGCTGCCATGTAAACTCAAGTCTTTGCATTAGAAATACCAACTTATCAAAAATGCCTATGTGTCAGCACCCACAATATAGAGATACCTTTAGTAACTGATGACACACTACAATCTTCTGATGGAAGACCTGTCCCACCATCCTTCCAATATGGATTCAGTTCTCTTTCCAGCAGTTTGGACTAGAAAAAAACATTTTCAGAAATTAGAATTTAAAAATAAATCCACCACAAAAGAGTTAATAATAAATCTGAGACAAATCATTCAAAGCACTTTTAAGACACTGTTCTGTAAWTTGCAGGTAATAATGTTTAAATTTACATTCATTCAATGTTTTAATTGAATACCTATCATGTTTCAGAACTGCATTATATATGGAAGATATAACAGTSGATAATACTTATTTGGCCCTGGCTAGTTTATACCATAGTGAYGATATGGTCAATAAATAACTGATAAATGCTTTGAAGACAGAAATTCAGAGTACTAAGGCCACACAAAGAATTTAAACCTCTCATACAATAAAGGATCAAAGACTTCCTAGAGGAAGCATTATGTGCAATCTTAGACCTAAGTACATGCAGAAATGAGCTAAGTTTTCTTTTGAGGGGAATGAGGGAAAGAGCATAAACATGCTCCAGCATGTTCACATTCATAAAACCATACAGAAAGAAAATACACATCACTTTCAGGGAACTTAAAGTAATTCAGACAAGCTAAAATTCAGAAATGTGAATAAGTAGTGAAAAGAAATTAGATTGGAGGATAATCAAGAGACTACAACACATGAGCTATTTTGAAATGCTGTTTACATTTTATGCTGGGGGCAATGGTGTTACACACAGAACAAACTGATCTTGGCAAGAGGAAAAATGAGAAGAGCAAGATTACAAATCCAGTCAGAAGACTGTGGCAGTAATCCAAGCAAGAGATGATGGRAGCCTGTGTTCCAAGCACTAGATCAGGCCCAGGGGCTATAAGGAATAAGACAGGTGCTGGGTCCTCAAAGATATTATGGTCTAAGGAAAGGGGAAAGACAATTAAGCAACATCAATACACATAAATGCTTTGAAAGCAAAGGAAGCTATATAGAACTACATACTGATGACACAAACTTAACCTCAGGAAATCAGAAAATGCTTCCTACAAGAACTAATAATGGCAACAGGATGGGGGGAAATGGAAGTGTTGAATGTTAGAGATTTCAGTTTCCCAGAATGTGAACCAACCAGACTGCTAAAAACAAAAATGTTGGATAACTTTTTAAATGAGCTGACAAAAAAAGTAAAAAATCTTGAAAGGACAAATTTAAGTTAAAGGTTAAYTCAGATGAATAAACAAAACCAGATTTGATTTCTTACATTATCTATAGCAAAAAATTCATTTCCCTGTTACTTTCTATAAAATCTCTCAATATCTATCATCAAGGAACTTCTTCCAATATTCTTATCTAGATACTCAAAGACATACACATCAGATACTTGACCTGATTTTTAAAAAACTAGAATTACACACTGAAAAGGACAGCTGACAAGAGTCTAGACAAATTGTAAGATACTATCTGGAAATGTATAAATGATAAAAAGCTGAATATATAAAGAACTTCCACAAATTAGTAAGAAAAAGAAAAACAACTGTAGTAGAAAAGTAAGCAAAAAACATAAACAATTCACACAAAAAAAGAAAAGATCTCTCTAATAGTAAGGAGATATAAAATATATAAAAATATGTAACATAATATATAAGTGGTTTTTAGTCAGCTTTTTTGCTGCTGTGACTAAAGGACCCRCCCAGAACAATTTTAGGGGAGGAAAAGTTTATTTAGGGGCTAACAGTTTCAGAGGTCTCATCCATAGACAGCAGATTCCATTCCTCAGGACTCAAGGTGAGGCTGAACATCATGGAGAAAGAGTGTGGCGAGGGAAGCAGCTCACCTGATGCTCAGGAAAGAGAGAGACTCCACTCTCCAAATACAAAATATATACCTCATAGCCATGCCCCCCAATGAACCACTTTCTCCAACCACATCCCACCTGCCCCCAGTTACAACTCAGGGATTAATTCACTGATTAGGATAAGGATATTACCCAATCATTTCTCCTCCAAATCTTCTTGCATTGYATCACACATGAGCTTTTGGGGGACACCTCATATCCAAACCAGAACAATAAGCATACAAAAACAATGAGATACTATTTCTTACCCATTAATTAATCTCAAAAAATTGTTTGATAATTAGAGATACTAAGTATTACAAAAGAACCATACATTGCTGAAGCTATATAAATTGTTATAATTTCTTTGCAAATATTTGTAAAAGAATATAGGTGCAAACTCTGTAATTGAGCCATTCGACTCATAGATATGTACCATGAAGAAATTCATACATGTATGCATAAGAAAATACATACAATGTCCTTTGTCGCAGAACTGTTTAGTGAAAAACAGTAAACAATGTAAGTGTCCATAAGTAAAGGAATGAACATTTACAGTATGGCACAGTTAGATGATGACAGACTATATAACAAATTGAAATGAATGCAATAAAAATAAAATATATCAACATTAATTGATCTCTCTATAATACATTGAATCCTTCTAGCCAAGATGGCTTATTAAGGTTCCACTTCATCACTATCTCTCTGCTTAGCACAAATAGAAAAGATACATAATGTAAAACTTACTGTAATTCAACATAAGACAAATATTTCTGTGGACCATAAACAGAACATAAATGCAAAGCAGTACACAGAAATGAAACCACAGGATTACTGGGCTCTGTGTGCAAGCCAAATGTGATCATCCCGAGTTCAATTTGTATATGATAATGAACACTAAGTGTTCCAGCTGAGACAAAGAAATAGAGCCAGTCTACATGAAGCAAGGATCTCCTGGGTAAGATTTCCTGTTAACAAAAGAATACTAAAGAACTGGTAAAAGGTGCAGACTTGGTCTATAGATAAATGCTAGATAAATACAAATTTCCAATATAMAGGTCCAAAATCAACAAGCTTCACACCAAACAATGAAGGACATTCATTTTGGTCTTTTTCCCATTACCTTCTTTTTATCCTCACTGCCATTATAAGAATTAACATTTGGACTGGTGCGGTGGCTCACACCTATAACCCCAGCAACTCAAGAGGTTGAGGCAGGAGGATCACAAGTTCAAAGACAGCCTCAGCAACCCAGCGAGACCCTGTCTCTAAATAAAATATAAAAAGGGCTGAGGATAAAAAAAAAAAAAAAAATTAACATTTGGTTCTAAAGCAAGAGCCATTTTTTTCCTCAAAAAAGGCTCAAACATTCAGAAATTTTAAGAATATTATGGTATGCAAAAAATAAACACATCCAAATGTGCACATGTAAAAATTGACTAATCTCACTCATTAGCCTAGATAATTTACTGCTGCACAAAATGATTGGAATTCTTACCTAAGCAAAAATTCCAAATTACTATAGATTACCAAACTTTAGAACTAAATCTAAGGATTCAAAGAGCAGCAAAGTAAACTAGAATTCATGGAGAGAAAAAGACTAAGTATACAATTTCATATCGTGAATTTTGTAGGTAAAAAGCATGTATTATGTGCAGAGTTCTATACTAGCTGCAAAGGAAGATACAAATAAAATAAAACAGTTTCTTAAAAGTTTATAACTTTTAATGGAAAGAGGATACAACCACTAAATCACTGTACCAGAAACTGTAAATATCTTACAGCAAAGAAACAAAGTGATATGAAAACATGAAATATAACTTATTTTAGTCATGGAAAATAAATAGCAGGTGTCTTATAKGATGTATGAAATCGGGAGGGCTTGAAGTTATCGATAAGCAAGATGAAGACATAAGAGATGAAGGGAATTCATTTAAAAAGAACAACATGAACAATTCAGAGGCAGAGATCTGTAAAAAAATATGAGTGAAAGTGATTAAATTAGTTTAGCTGAAATATAAATTACCTGAGAAAAAGAAAATTTGCCTTAAGCATAATGCTAATGAGTTTGGGCTACATTTGTAGGCAGCTTTAGGGGTCTGTGAAAAAAAACAATGACAGTACCTTTTTTTCAATCTAAGTTCTGAACAAGTTGAGAAAGAAGAACATAGAAGATAAAATATAAAAATTACCTGTATTACTAATAAAGGCTAAACTGAAAGAAAACTTTCAGTGAAAGACAAATGGACCTACTAAACTAAATCCCACAATGAGGAAGACTTTACCAATTACAGAAAGTTCCAAGCCAAACCCTGTATCTCCCTTGTTTCCACCTGGTCTCCACAGGTAACTCGTTTCATAAGCAAGATAGTSAGAGCTAAGGAAACCTGATCAGTTTATTCTTTCCAGTATTTTCCAATAGAAAATTTATTCAATGTCTTCAGGGACAGAGTGGGTATAGAAAGTAGCCTGAAATATCACTAGTAAAACTTACTTCACTAAAAAGAAAACATCAGAAATGGCAAAGAAGCATTCTTTCAATTTGAATCAAAGAAGACTTCTAAAAGGAATAATACCATGATCAAAGGTGCATATTAAAAAAAATTATTCGATATACTTAGTTGTGGGATATAACAGATGAAATCAATTGCCTGACAAGACAGAAGATGAGCAAGTTGTCAGCTGTGGATGTAGTTCAGTGGTAGAATGCTTACCTGGCATGTATAAGACCTTGAGTTTGATCCCCAGAAACACACACACACAAAAAAAATGTTTCTTGCGTTTGACTGAATTTTTTCCAAGTTCATCTTTTCATCAGGAATAAATCCCAGGAGGGTCCCAGATTTAAAAGTGTTTATCAATCAGACATTCCTATCTCATGCAGGCACTTGCCTTACATGCTATCTCTGAGCAATCATTCGAAATTCTAGATTACTAGGATTGTGTGGTATTTCCAGGAAGGCCTCCAGCTTCAGTACTTCTTTACTTTCTGGAACCATGCTTTTGCCTAATCTTTTGGCCTTTAAAAGATTTCCTGCTGTTTTCTTACCAGCAGTAACAACAATAAATCCAGAAATTTTAGGTGTCTTGAAATGGAAGCATTTTTATGGTATCTAATTCACTATGTACACTGAAATAGAAGTTGAGAAGGTTCAGCTTTAATTCTATGATAGTAACATAAACTCAATATAACTCAACTATATATGCTCTAGATTTATAAGTCTATTACTCCTTTAAACTGACTCTCTATACAAGAAATTTACTTTAAATAAAATTTATATCACATTTCACTGTTGTTCACATTAATTTTATTAAACACCACAAAAAATAAAAATATTTCACAAGTAAAATTGCATTTATATGAATGTCTTACCAGTTTACTAAAGGTGAATTAGAAAGTTAACACGTTGTAAATATTCTCTTACCTGTTCCAGTGCTTGGGTTTTTGCTTGCTCTATTTTCTTTATAGTTTCCTTTTCAGCTTTGAGTGATGATGACGACACAGTTTTAACAGACATAAAATCAACAGTCATCCACTCATCCCTCTGTTAAAAAGAAAAAAAAAAAAAGGAAGTTTTTCAGTCTGAACTAGTTTGAACTTAATGACAGCAGGGATTTGGGAGGCACTCAAGCTGTATCAAATCTTACATGACAGTATATTGTTAAGCAAGTTTCTTAAATCTCTATACCTTAGTCTTTCCCCTATAAAATGCAATAAAATGTCAACATTTCAGGATTATTTATTGTTCAAAATAATAGAAAACATCTAACACAGTGCTTGGCAAACAAAAAAGAACCAAACATTTGTTACTGTTCATCTTTTTTCCCTTCCTTTTTGGCCATCAGTGGAGAAATTACACTCTTTTTCAGGCATATGAACCATAACCCAAAGCCGGGTGTGGCAGTGCACAGATATAGATCAAAGATAAGTAAAAACCTTGGAATCTCTTATTCAATTTGGAAATATCTGTATGAATAAATAGTTTATCTTTATCCTTTAAAAAAAAAAAAAAAAAAAAAAAAATATATATATATATATATATATCCTAGTAGCAATGAACACCACTCATGCCCAAATTGTGTTTTCTAAGTATCAGTTTTCATTAGAAGGAACTAGGGGTCCTTATAAAAACAGCGGCTTGGGAGGCTGAGGCAGGAGGATCATGAATTCAAAGCTAGCCTCAGCAAAAGTGAGGCACTAAACAACTCAGACACTGTCTCTAAGTAAAATACAAAATAGGGCTGGGGTTGTGGCTTAGTGGTYGAGTGCCCCTAAGTTCAATCCCCAGTACCCAAAAAAATAATCAGAACTATTTGAACTATAACCCAAAATTTCTAAACTACTCAACTTTTAGTATTGTTAAGTAAATTATGACATGGGAGTTCATAACCCACTTGAATCTAATGTATGAAATATGATATGTCAAGAGCTTTGTAATGTTTTGAACAACCAATTAAAAAAAAAAAAAAAACTGCAACTGAGCTCTACCCATCATGGAAAGGACAGACAGAGGTAAGAGTACAAAGCTGAATGCACAAGAGGGGAAAGTGTCGCTTCTCTATCAAAAACCAAAAGTAGGATAATCTCTGAGGGACTAGAATAAACACTTACTTTCTCAGAGCAGAAAGAAAGGAGCCTAAACACTCAGCAAAAAGCATTATTGCCTAAATTATTCAAAATATATATTGCTCTCAAAGTCTAATTTTTCTCCTAGAGAAATTAACTACCTTTCACTTCAATATTCATCTATTCTTAGAAGCTGACACTTCTTTCTGTAAAATCATGTGGCTTGCTTACCTGAATAACTTGACTGTCTTCTTCCTTTCCAGAGTTTTCATCTTTCACTTTCCAGGCCTTTTCCTTGCCAGAAGTCTGGGATGGAACAGCCTCAACCCACTCATCTTCAGAGCTCTAAGAATGTTTAGCACGTAAGTAAAACTCACAATTTGCATATATACATAAAAAAATCTCTATGCAGTTGTTAAATGGTAACAATTAGCTTTCTAGATAACATTCTTATATTATGCCCCCTTTAAAATGGCATTGAAAATTAGAGGAAAAAACATCTAAACCCACTATTTGGAAATAAGCCCATAAAACACCACCAAATTAGTTTTATTTCTTTATCAGCTAAATTACAGAGCTAAAGAAAAGCAAAAAACAAAAGTGAGATCTTCTAGGTAGAAAGGTTACTTCAAAACAGAGTTTCAGTTCCTACCAACATCAAGTAGTACTCACATGTTCCCCAGAATAGAGGGGAAATGACACTCAAATAAATGAGTTTGCTGTATGCCCCTAAGCTTCAAATTTTGAGATTTCCCTCAATCTAAACTTGCAAAGATCTCAAGTAACAGCTAGACAGGTAAGGTATTTTACCTAATATGTTTAAAGATCAGATTACTGCATCAACTAAGGAGTATACTCAGTTATCATTCCCTATGTGCTATTATGCCAGGTTTGGAGTTTTTCAACAAATATATCAAACAACTCTGTTATGTCAAGTAGTATATTAAGTACGTTCACATAAATTATCACCCTAAATCCTTAAAGTAACTCTATATTCTTTTGACTTTATAGATAAGAAAAGCTCCCTAAAATTAATTTGCCCAGGTTACATGATATCCAACTGTAAAAACCAAGATAGGAATGTAGATCTGTCTGATTCTAAATCTATTTTTTGGAGCTATAGAACTAAAGCATCTACTCTGTATCCCCAAGTACCTTGCTAAACAACTGGGCAACTATCCTTCCCTTCTTCAACAAYCTCCTCAAGCTTTCTACCAACTCCCATTCCCCATACTCTGAGCAAATGATCTCTCCTTTTACCTCATCAAGAAAAAAATAGGCCACTTCACCTTCAGTTTACCCTAGACAAAAATTATTTATAGCTGTGCCAATCCTAACCCTCTGTTAACTTTTACTATTCAAGAAAAGTCCTCCTCCAAAKATTTTGATCCCAACCATTCCTGTTCTTTCAGAACCTTGCTTCATTAATTATCTCCTTCTCTTATGCTTCTACCAAAGGTCTCTAAAGGCCTAGAAATGTGAAGTGTTTTTACTTTTATTTTCCTCTAGAGGAAAGGAGGCCCTCTATATCCCTTTAGCAGCAATTCATCTTCCAAATTCTATTCTATGACTATCTTATTGAAGAAGTACTAAATGCACTGTGTCTACACCTTCACTTTCAAACATTTCTCCAACCTCTACAAAATTGCTGCTTTCCCCCATTAATCTAGTGAAAACTCTTCAAAACTCAATGGCTTCCACTTTGCCAAATTCTACAAAATACTTTAGTCTTTATCTCCTTAAACTTCTCTACAAGATACAACCCTGCTAATGACTCACTGTCTTAACTTCTAGGATACTTCCTAGTTCTCTCCTATGTTCAGTCCTTAACTATCCATGCTCCATTCTTTGCCCACTATATTTTGTATGCTCTAAACATTCCCCATGAGCCATTAAATCCATTCTCACAGCTTCAACTACCATCAATTCTGCTTATTTCTTTCAAATTTGCCTAACGTGAGTTTCAGTGACTCAATCAACTATCTGCTATACTTGGATGTCATGTTGAACTCAAGGACAAAAAATAAACTCATCATCTTCTTCTGTAACACCTGTTCCTCCTACTCTATTATTGAACTGAGTTACCTGGCACCATCAACCACCTACTTCACCAAGTCAGAAATACCAGGATCAAGATCACCTATCCAAACCTATAAATTTTCAACTCTAAAATACTTACCAAATATACCACAAAGAAAATACCACATGATTGCCATGGGAGCCTACCTCCACCTAACCAGCGCTGACCCAAACGTAGGTAGCTGGTCCAATTCAATATAAGTTATTCTTCAAGAATTTGAAATCAAATCCAAAGGAGCTGATTTAAAACTAAGGAGCAGGAAAGGCATTGGCAAAAGCTATTTACATCATAAAGAATGGAATTCAACAGAAATTGATCTGTAACAAGAAAACAAAAGGACTCCAAGGGAAAACATGGAAAATGGCAAGATTATAAAAGGCATCTGTGACTTTAATTTCAGATATTCCTGAAGCCAGCTGATTCCTAGGTGTTTTATACACCTAGATGTCCTGTAAGATTTTTGTACGCTAATGATAAATCCTTCCCTTTTTTTGTTTGCATAAGCCAATTTAAGTTTGGTTTCCATAACCTGCCAAAAGACTTCAACCAATATATATCCCCTCATTTTCATTCTTAAAGTAGCAGTCTTAAATTAGATATTTTTTTCTTATGTACATAATTGAAATAAAGACCAAAAATGTTTCTTAGACTCCAGTCTTTCTTCTCCAACTCCTCTAAATGTATTTAGAGTTAAATGAAGGAGACATCCAACCATAGTGCTTCTCTTCTATGGCTGTCTGTCCCAAAGATACTAATTATTACTCTTCTACGAATAGAACTCAATCTTATTTGGAGAAATAATGTGCCTCTTGTACCTGAAAGTGAAACATGATCAAGTATCCAATGAGATGTAAATGAAAGTATTCAGTGGGCTTTCTGGAAGTCAAATTAAGAAAGAAAAGAATATACTATTTCCTATTATCTGAACTAAGAGGTAGTGTAGCAAGGATGATGAAAGACCAATACAAGGGGCWGGATTGTGGCTTAGCAGTAGAGCACTCGCCTAGCACAGGCGGGACCTGGGTTCAATTCTCAGCACCACATAAAAATAAAGGCATTGCATTGTGTCCATCTACACCTGAAAAATAAATATTAAAAAAAAAGAAAGACCAATACAATAGAACCTTGGTCATAGAAGACCATAATACCCTGGTCGGTCTACTCATTTCTTTAATAAGACAAAACATAAACTTCTATCTTGTTCAACCAATGAGTATTCTGAGATTTTTCTAATAAATTTAGCTGACCCTAAATAGATGACCCACTTCCTATGGAATAAAAAGCAAAGCCTTTGGTTTACAAGTCCTTATTAATTCTTGAAGTTTTATCTTCACTTACCCTCTCTTTTGCTTTATATATAATTTGAATAAATTTTAATTAAAAAATTAAAAAGCTATAGACAATTACCATATTGGATAATGTAAAAAAATTCTCTAATTAAAAAGGAAGAGGGCTGGGAATGTGGCTCAAGCGGTAGCACGCTCGCCTGGCATGCATGCGGCCCGGGTTCGATCCTCAGCACCACATACAAACAAAGATGTTGTGTCCGCTGAAAACTAAAAAATAAATATTGAAAAATTCTCTCTCTCTCTCCCCTCTCTCACTCTATCTTAAAAAAAAAAAAAAGAAAAAGAAAAAAAATAATTAAAAAGGAAGAAATTGATAGACTAGATAAAACTCAAATTCCAAATTTACATTGTCCGCAAAAAAATACACTTTTATTTTGAAAGATATGSTAAAACTAAAACATATAAACCATAAAAAACAAATAATATAAAAGAGGCTCTATTCATACAAAACAAAGCAGAATATAGACAACAGTGTTACCAGAGATAAGGAGAAACATTTCACAATAATATCACAATTAATTCATCAAGAAGATGTAACTATGCTAAATGTAAATGTACATACCTAGTAAAGTTTCAAAAYACGTAAGACAAAAATTGAAAACAGAAATAGAAAAGTCAAACCATTACAGTTAAGAGATTTCAGTATGAATCTCTCAGTAACTGAAAGAGAACTGGTAAAGAAAAAACAAGGAAGAATACAGGAGACTTAACACCATTTATCAATTTTTCCTAATTGACGTTTTTAAAACCCAACATCTAACAACAGCAAAATTACACAATCATTTCAAATATACAAGGAGGGCTGGGCATATAGCTCAGTTGGTAGAGTGACTGCCTTGTTCAATCCCCAGCATCATAAAAAAAAAAAAAAATAGACATGGAATTTTCACCAAAATAGAACATAGGCTAGGCCATAAAATAAATCTGGATAGATTTTTAATTAAAATTATACAAAGTATGTTCTATGTCAATAATAGAATTCAAGTAAATTTTAAAATAACTGGCAAAATGTACAAATACTTGGAAATTCAAAATTTACTTTTATATAATCCATGAGTAAAAACAAGTTAAATTTTAAGATATAAATATTTTTAATAAGATATCAATGAAAATATGACACATCAAAATGAGGTAGACAAAGGATGCGGTTGTGGCTCAGTAGTAGAATACTCCCTAGCACATGTGAGGCATGAGTTCGATCCTTAGCACCACATAAAAATAAATAAAACAAAGTTATTGTGTCCATCTACAACTAAAAAAGAAAAACATTTTGGGCTGGGCTTGTGGCTCGGTGGTAGAGCACTTGCCTAGCATGTAATAAATAAATAAAATAAAGGTCTCTCAACAACTAATAAAATACTTAAAAAAAAGAAAAACATTTTTTAAAAAATGAGGTAGGTGAASTTACAACAGTGATAAGATGAGCACTAATAGATTAAGTACTTATTAGAAAAGAAAAAAGAGAATCAATAACCTAGGCACCCATGTTAGGAAGGTAGAAAAAGAAAAGTAACTTAAATACAAGATAAGTATTAGAAAAAATAATAAAGCTGAATCAATGAAATAGAAAATAAACAAAGCAAAAATCAACAAAACCAAAATGTAATTCTTTGAAAAGATCAACAAAGTTGATAAACTTCAAGCTAGACTGAGAAAACTAAATAGAAAATAGAAATTACCAAATTCAGGAATAAAAAAATCATTGTAGGTTCTACAGACATTAAAAGGACAAAAGGAATATTTATTTGAGTGAAATAAATTCCTTTAAAAACTCAACCTACTATAACAAATTCAAGATTAAATAGAAAATATCTAATATACTATTAAAGAATTGAATTTGTGACTAAAATCCATTCTACATTGAAAGCAGCAGGACTAAATAACTTCATTGGTGAATTTTAATAAACACTGAAGGCACAAATTGCACCAGTCCTGCACAAACTGATAAAACAGAAGAGGAAGAATACTTTTTACTTCATGTATGAGAATAGCATTATCCTTATACCAAGATCCCAGTATTTCTCAAGAACACAGATAAAAAATCTTCAACAAACTTTTGGTAAATCAAACCCAAAAACATAACTATTATATAAGTTTTATAGCCGTTCATTGCTTAAAAATAGGAACACACTCTGAGAAATATGCCATTAGATAATTGCATCATTGTGTGAACACCATAAAGTGTATTTACACAAATTAAGAAGACTATGAGGGCTGGGGATGTGGCTCAAATGTAATGCGCTCGCCTGGCATGCTCGGGACCCTGGGTTCGATCCTCAGCACCACATAAAATAAAATAAAGATGTTGTCCACCGAAAACTGAAAAATAAATATTAAAAAAAAATCTCTCTCTCGCTCGCTCTCTCTCTCTTTCTTTAAAAAAAAAAAGAAGAAGAAGAAGAAGACTATGATGTCACTAGACAAAATAATCTTATGGGACTAGCACTGAATATAAGTCGTCCATCACTGATCAAAACACCCTTATGTGGCATGTGACTATATATGTAAATACACACACACACACACACACACACACACAAAAAAAAAAAAAAAAACCAAACTTGGTTTCTCCCAAGAATGCAGGTTAAAGTAATTCTTTCATATTAACAGAATAAAGGAGAAGAATCTTATGATCGATGTATGCAGGAAAAAAACATTTAATAGAATTCAATACTCACTCCAGATACAAACTTCAAGAAAACTTACAGAAAATTAGAAATGAAAAGGAATTTCCTCAATTTGAAAGGGTATATGTGAAATTCCCATAGTTGGGCAGCTGCATGTGTAGCTCAGATCAAAGCATTTGTCTAGCATATACAAGGCTCTGGGTTAGATCCCCAGCATCACAGGAAAAAAAAAAARARGAGGAGGAGGRGGRGGAKGRKGGRGGARRRARGARRAAAAAAAAAAAAAAAAAGTCCACAGCTAACACTATGATTAAAAGCCAAAGACTAAATTCTCTCCACCTAAGACAGGATAAAGGCAACTATGTCCATCCACTCTCAGCAAGTGCAGTCCACACTATTTCAAAGTCCTATCTTCTGATTGATACAGCCAACAAAAACTTAAATGAAATGGAAAGCAGAGATTGAAACACAATTATGTGCCTACAAATTCTAAGAAATCTACCTAAAAACCTAATGAAGACACTAGTATATGTGAATTTATCAAAGTGATAAGACAAAAGTTAAATACGAAAGGCAATTGTATAATAATATATTAAACACAAACACATGTAAAATAAATTTTTTTTAAAAAATCCATTCTCAAATAATATTCCAAGAAAAAAGTTGGAAAATATGTAAAAGACCTCTACTTTGAAAATTTTACAACATGTGGAGAAATGAATGATGACTTAAATATGATGAAGAGATGTTAAATATGTTCTATTCTTTTTCTACCTTCCCAACCATAAACATAATGAACTGGAAGATTCAATATTTTAAGATGTCAATTTACCTGGACTAACCCTTTATAATTTTTAACTTTTCTGACTCTACCTCTTTCTTCTCCCTTTTTCTCCCTCTAAAACACCAAATCATCTCACAAATTGGAATGTAGCTTAGCAATTTGCCCTACTTTCAGTAATTACCAAGTAAAATCTGTTTTCACCACTTTAACTGATATCCAGCTGTATTTATCTTTGACAGTACAGCCAAAAATTTAGTTTCTGAAAGGACAGGTGGGCCAGACTTTCGACTCTGGTTACTCAACTGAAAGRATAACTCACTGAAGAWCATACTTAAAAGACCAATTTTCCCTAAACATCTTTAGCTCATCATTTTCTAAATATAACTGTTTCTTTCTGAAAACAAGTATGAAAGATTCAGCCTGCTTTATTTTTCCTTGTGAATTCTTGCAGCCTAGAACTGGCTAGAGATACAGCTAACTCAGCACTCTTTCTTTTGTCCTGAAAGGTTAAATATATAAACAAATTCTACTTGAAAAATGTAAATATTAATTTCTATAAAAAAACAGAAGGTGTCACAGACTTTTTAAATATCTTGAATCTCTTTTCCCTTATTTTTGCAATACTCTTCTTCCCTGCTTTTCCTCCTAATGTTCCACTTTTAATTAACAWCCTTTACTTCCTATGTGTTTCTTCAGTAATGGTGTTTCTCTTTCTTTTCAATTTCCCTAGTCATTCATCCATTCTAATCATTCCAACAGCAATGATTTCCAAGTCATATCCCCATCTTCTCATCCTTCTCTGGAACCCAAGACCTACATTTCCAATATTTCCTGGACATCTCCAAGTAGAGGCCTCTGAGCCATTTTCATATCATTAAGTAGTAGTTTTTTAAGTTCTCATATATTTTAGGTTCCTTTAAATAAAATCTTCTCATTTGCTTTGGTTAGTTTTAGTACATACTTACCGATGAACTATCAGAGGACTCATTGTTTTTCTCATATTTTTGTCTCTTACTCTTTTTTTTCTTCTCTTTCTTTGCTTTTTTGGAATGCTTGTCTTTTTTCTTCTTTTTCTTCACAGAATGTTCCTATATTTATTTTAAACATGTAAGAAAAGAATTTAGTTTTATTATACTTTATAAGGAGCATTTTAAGGAGGAAAAAAAATCCATATTCCAAAAACTTAAAATCTTTCATGAATAGAGACACTGAATATGATTAAAGATCATGATTAAACAAATAAAATCTTCAAAGAACTCTTAACATGCCATCTATAATATAATATCATCTGGTTTTTTACCAGAAAAAAAAAATTGCTTTTATTTGTAGATTAATGTGATTCACACATATAATCAAGTAAACACATACACACACACACACACAAACATAAGTGAGTGTACTCACAAACATATAACACACAGACACACACACACTTTTTATGCATGGTCCCAAACAATTTAGACACAATTATTAGGCCATAAAAACATAAGATAATATGAATTAAAATGTAGCAAGAGGCTAGAAGGGAGGGGAGGTACGGAAAGTTATAGAGGAAGAAAGATACTGATCAAAGCATACAAAGTTTCAGTTGGACTGCAGGAATAAGTTTTAGTGATTTAATACCCTACATGGTGGCCACAGTTAATAATAATGCATATTTCAAAATTACTAAAAGAATAGATTTTTAATGTTCTCACTACAAAATAAATTAAGTCAAATAAATTAAGTTGGGGAAGTAATAGAAATGTTAATTTAACTGAATCGTCTATATTGTATACACAGAACAAAACATCACATTGTATTCCACAAATATACACCATTATTATTTACAAATTAAAAAAAAWTTTTTTTAAATCAAGAGAAAACAAGGCCTGAGTCATAAAAGGGGCAGAGTRGGGAGAGAGAAGGGCATAATATGCCCAATATTTTCAAACCATAAGCTTGTAATATGTGGGTCAGAAATTTGTAGCTAAGTTTTCTATTACCCAACTCATGTAATAAAATTTTTCAATGTCATGATGTCCAAAATATTACAATAGGTTACTTTTTTTTTTTTTTATTAGTTATTGGCGGACACAACATCTTTGTTTGTATGTGGTGCATGGAGGATCGAACCCGGGCCGCACGCATGCCAGGCGAGCGCGCTACCGCTTGAGCCACATCCCCAGCCCCAATAGGTTACTTTTGACAGAGAAAGAAAGCTATTCAATAATGCCAACTATGTTGTATTCATTCTGTAACTTGTGAAAACAGTGTATTAAATTMTTTTCTTAATATTAACTTGGAGAATGCAAAAAAAGATAGATACAGCAAGTAAAACTGTTAATATTCACCTGTGAGAATTGTTCAATTCTCTCATTCACATCAGGTAGCATCCATGTATCATCGCCCCGAAGTCGCTTAATTTCTTTATGTCTTTCTTCTTTTTCAAAATTGGCTTTGGCCTACAAGAACATGAAAAGATGAACTGACAATTGCTTTATTTTTTTAAGTAAAATAAAAACTGATACTACCTTTGTATAAAGGTACCTGCTCATGAACAAATGGTCTGTTCCTGACAGTAATCTGTTTCTACCAGTATAAAAAAGATTTTTTAAAATGTAATAAAATCTTTCATTCCACATTATCAGTCTCTAGTAAGTCAATCCACCAAACACAGGATTCTGGAATCTATTTTATTCCTTMTCCTTTCCCAATCTCAAATATGACTTGGGACTCTTGGAAAACATTCACCACTTTTGTGGCGACTGCCTTAGACTTCCGCAACAGGTAAGCGACTGACCTCCATGCCYTCAATATGCAATGTCTGAAAACCAAAAGACCTTAGGAAAAATCATCCTGCTAAAAATAAAAGATTGTATTCTAATTTCTATTCATTCAACAATAGTCAAATAAAGCAGATTTTACCCAGGAGGTTGTTCCTGCCCTCTCTTTACTCCTCCCAAACTCCAAATCTGGGTTTGTTCCTCTTCAAACTCTATACACATCTTCAYTATAAAATTTATCATAGCTTAAAAACCCAACTCCCTCCAAAAAAACGCTTGAAATACCAGAGAAAAAAAATAAATAATATTTATTACACATATACTGATATTGGGGAATAACAACCTTTCACCCGTATAAAACTAATCATCTGCTCTTTCCCTTTAAAAATTTGGCTGTAGTCATTCCTCTACCTCTTCACAACTAACTCCTTCTTACCTGCATTCCAAYTTTTAAAACTCTTCCATCTTAAAACAAACAAAAAGCAAAAACTTGACTGTGTCCTATGTTGCTTTCTAACTACAACTTTGTTATTTCATTGTCACACTTCTTAAATCTTGAATTGCTTGTCAGATAACACCATGGTTTACTTCTTCCATTCTATTATATACCACCTCTAAGTTATCACAATCTTAACAAAAAATACAATGTTAAGCAATCTTTTGTGAGAGGCTAAATTTTCTGAGTCTCTTGTGTTAACTTTTTTAGATAAGTAAAAACTGACAATAAGTCTGGAATCGAAACTAATAGTAAGGCGAATGAAATGGCAAATACTTAAACGTGCCTTACTTGTGTTCCTGAAAAAGATAAATTTCATTTCATATACAGCAGGAGCAATGGCTGAGGCTGCTAAATACCTGAGCAGAGTCGTTGCAAGTACTTATAAAGCCAAGATGGACGATTTAAAAAGTAGGGAAACTTGGAAGAGAAGAAACATCTCTCTGAAAGGAGAATGGTCAATGGAACCTGCACAGCATTTAGGAGACAAGAGATACACAGAATCTCCCGGCAATGCAAAGGGAGATAACACCCAGACAATCTGAGATTACTGAAATGGTGAAAGAGTGGGTGGTCTTGCTCCCAGGAGCCTTCAACTCCCACAACTCTCAATAACCACAAAAGCCCCAAAAAGGAGATACCTGACGCAAGATCTCAGCCCTGGCAGTTCGGATTTGCTCTTTACGCTCTTCGATACTCTTCGCACTTTCAAATCTACCACTGGACGCCGCCATAGTTGTTGTCATCGTAAAGCTAGGAAGCCGCCAGGAAATCCCAGTTTACGACAGTCGCAATTTAATAAACAAACCAGCACTTCCGACTTACGGGAGGAGGGGCGGTGTTCTGCCAACGGAGCATGCGCGGATCTGAGTTTCGCTCGAGTTTCCGGTGCTCTCTCCACCATTTCAGAGGAAACCTGATAGSCGGCTTTAACGTTGTTTTCCTTCACGTGTTGGGTTCGCTGTRAGCAGGACTAATACCTTTTCTATGCGTCTTGCACCTTGCCGCTTTATCTCCAGTTGATTACCTCTTAAACTCTCCAGAATAAGTTAGAAGCTTCCAGACGTTAAGTCCATATCTCCAAGTTTTCCACCGAAGTACTTGGTTYTCATCAGACATTGAGAGTCAGTGGAATCTGATAGGAAAAGCAAAATCGCTTTGGAGATTAAGTGTTTTGCTTTCATGAATTTTTTTTAAATATGCGCAATAGTGATTTTTGCATTATACTTAGTGACTTATCCGTGTTTATTTAAATTGTTAGGAGTTTGCTTTTTTTTTTTTCTCTGACCTCATTTGCTCATAGTTAAATCCATCCAGCATTTTTCATTACTGTGGTCAATTAATTTGTGTGGCGTTTATCATTGTATCTCCCATAGTTCAGTTCAATGTGCATTAAAACATTCTAAAGTAATTATTTGATTTTGAGACTATAAAACACTAAACTTACATTTACATCGTGAAGATAAAGAAGGCTCTAGAGACTAATTGTAAACTAGATACCTTAAAAACACTAGCAATAGCATAAGCCAAGTTGAAGTAAATATTCTTTTCAGGTTTCATAAAATAGGATGTGCATGTACAAGAAAGAAAATTTTCCAAGAGTTTACCGTGCTATGAAAGTCCTAATCTTGAACATGTAATGTTTTCTTGTTTGATATTCAATAGAATTTACTCATTTGTTATAGAAAGTTGGATTTTAATTTACTAATTGATCTTGTGATATTTGACTGATATTGTCATAATTAACTAGCATTAGTCTTAAGATTCAGGATTCAGAAAAAAAAATACATAACTCCTTTGCATCAATAACAGGACAGATGAAAATAATGATTGTAGCAGAACCTTGTGTGTTTCAGTCCACTCAGACTGCTGAAACAAAAATAAACATTTATTTCCCACTCTTAYGGAAGCTGGGAAATCCAAGATTAACATGCTGGCAGATTTTGTGTTCAGAAAGGGCTCTTCCTAGTTTATAGATAGCAATCTTTCTGCTATGCCTYATTTGTGAAAGTGGTCTTCTGAGACCTCTTTTGTAAGCATAATAATCTCATTCAATCCAAATGCCCCACCTGCAGATACTCCCACATTAGGGATTAGGTTTAAACATAGGATGTGGGCAGAACACAGTGATTCAGTCTATAACAATGTGCAAAGTGATATAAAGAAAACTTWACAATCTTACTGTGCGCCAGAAGAAGACAAGAACAAATGAAGAGCTATACCATGTGCTTAAAGAAGACTCACATAAAAAATTAATTCTTCATATATTAATTTTTATTATGGTGATATACAAATAAAATTGCCAATTAGAAAAACAATGTTGAAATCAGTGAGGACTAGACCTGTTGAAATATAATGAAAAAAACAAAAGGAAAAGCAGGTTATTTTGTAGTGTTGTGGTTTGGTGATGAAGGGTCCCAGAAGACTCCTGTACTTGAAGGCTTGCTCTCCAGTGCAGCAATGTATGGACCTAAGGCTTTTAAGAAAAGATAAGATCATTATTAGTTGGAGGAAGTATGTCACTGGATACATGCCCTGGGAGATATTATCTTCTCCCTGGCCCTTTCCTCTGTTTTCCCCTCCCTTCCTTCTCCCCAACTCCCAACTTGCTTCCCAGCTACTAAGAGCTAAGGAACTTTCTTCTGACTTGTTCTTCCACAATGATATTCTTGCCTCCCCTCAGACCCAGAGTAATGGAGCCATCTGACCATGGAATAAAACTGTGAGCCAAATGAAGCTTTACTTCTCCAAATTGTTTGTGTCTGATATTTTGGTCACAGCTACAAAAATCTGACTAATAGCTAGGTTTATATTTGTCCACACATAATAGGAATCCAATCACATAGTTTAATCAAATTTAGGGCAATGTGATAGGAAGCCTATAGGTAGCTGGTTCAGGTTGGATGCAGATTTTGAAGGGAACAGCTATTCTCCCTTTCTGTTTTGTCATAGTCTGACTTTAGTCTTTGTAATCACAAGTAGAGGCACCACATTCCTCTACATCTGTTAATGGCCTCTATTGAACACAATAATAAAAGGAAAGAATTAAAAGTAAGGTCTTTACTAGCTAAGGCAACCCCAATTTTTATTAGAAAAATTATAGCTTTTTCAAATGTCTAGTCTGGTTTCTTCCATTTAAATCTTGAGTCAGTTGTAGGTCACATGGCCACAACTAACTACAAAATAGTTATGAAGATTCCAGGACAATTCTGCTATAAAATGTCAGCTTGGGTTTATCTGAGATTTTTTTTGTGATTAGATTCACATTAGGCATCTCAAGCAAGACTATTCACAAAAGTGATCTGTCTCTTCCTGCATTTCAATAAGTTGGGTAGGATGTGATTTCCTTTGTTCCATTAGCATTCCATCATGGTGTTCATTCTGATCATTTAAAGTTCTGTATGAAACCTAATCCAGATTTAAGTAAAGAAAGACTTTATTTAAAAGAATTATTGCATTGTGGAGAGGAGGATCATTGTAAAGGAACATTCTGAAACTAAGATCTATTAAGTTCTCAAAGATCAAGSAGAAAGGGTGTTTGTTTTATATGAAAAAGTAAAAAAAAAAAAAAGGCTAGTGTTATGGTTTGGATCCAGAATGTCCCCAAAGGCTCTGGTTAAACATCTGGTACCAGATGCAGCAACGATTGGGGGTGGGGTGGAACAATTGGGTCAAGACAGTGCTATCCTCATCAGTGGATTGATGAGTTCCTAGCTGAATGGTCTATTAAGAGGTGGGCATAATTGCAGAGAGTGGGTCCTTGAAGGTGTACCCTTGTCCCCAGCCCATTTGTGTCTTTCTGCTTCCTAGATGCTGGGAAATGAGCAACTTTGCTCAGACACACACACACACACACACACACACACCATCCTTCACTATGATGCTCTGCCTCACCACAGACACCATACAGTGAAGCCAAGTGATCATGGACTCGACCTCTAAAACCATGAGCCAAAATAAATCTTCCCTCCTTTTAGGTTATTTATGTCAGGTATATTATCACAGCAATGGAAAGTTAACTAAAAGYTAGAAAGACCAAGTTTGAGGGAGTGGGATAAACAGGGAGTGAGACATTKTCCTAGAATATAGTGACAACAGCTCATTCCTGGACAACCAAAGGGTAGGGAGATTTTTTATGTCATTGCTTTCTAGAAGCCTCGGTCATCTCAGTGGGCAGAGCTGGGGAAACAAATACATATAAAGATATATACACGTAACTATTATTTCTATATCTACATATCTATATTAAAACCAATGAGTTCATATAGATACCTCTAAGTCTAAATACCTCAGGGTTCATTCTGGTTTCCTTCATTTCCATATTTATGAATGCATTCTCCAACAGGAATAGACTTTATTCCTATTATACTTAATATATTCACTAATTTGATCAGTTATCCAGTATGYAACCAACTTCCTGTTGCCATCATCGCCCTCTCCCTTGCAATGGATGCCCTCCCTACCTGATTGAGGCATTGACATTCTGTGTGTGCTAGGATACCCATTCACATTCTAAAACTCTAAACTGAATCATCTTCCCAAACAAGCATTTCTTGCTCTGCTTGGACTATAACACCCATGTTTCAACTCCTCCTCACAACCTAAGTGCCACAGTCTGGCTGGGCATAAAATAACTGAGCTGCCACACAGCCTTGTAGGTTCTAACAGCAAGCTTTATTCCCGAACTCTCACCGGCCCTCTAGACACATTTCTCAGGAACACACTGCCTCCACCGGGCTCCGCTCGCCAATTCTCTCGGAACCCCTCAACGAGAACTCAACTCAACGGGAACTCCAAAGTAGTGGGCGCCCAAAGCAGTAGGATCTGCCCTAATCCCAGCAGGCTCCGCCCTAATCCCCGGGAGCCGCCCTATTCCCTGAGGATCCRCCCTAATCCGCCCCCCCACACCCTAATCCCAGAGCAGGGTCACCTTTCAACCATTCCCTCTAGCAAAATGCCAGGCGTCATTCGACTAAACTGTGGCTCTCAATACCTAAGTACCCTCCTCTCCCCATTTGTGCTTTGAACCTCTTCTCCCAATTCACCCACATTAATGMATACTTTGTTCAGACACTGAATGAAAATAAATGGAACAGGAAGACAGATTTAAGTCTCTTTTATCTATAACGATTTTCACTTATCCTCTATTATTTGCATGCCATTTATGTACTGAAGAAACTGGGTCTCTTTTTTTTAGATATCTTATATTCTGGGTTTAGTTTATTGCATCATTTGAAAATTTTTATTTTAACATATATCTTTATCCCCTGTTTGCTAAAAATTGGTAGTTAGATTTTGATATTTGACTGGATTCAGTTCACTATTATTTGAAACATACTTCTATTTCCTATTACTTCATGTCTTGCACATTTACAGTGGTTACACTTTTCATAATGTTAAGACTGATAAGTGGATTTAGGCACTGTTATCCTGAATTGATCCATTATCAGGACCTCCAATTAGTTTGACACCATTGATGATGGTTGTCAAGATCCCTCTTTTTCAAGGGCTTATACAACAGTGGTTTTCAAATTTTACCACTCTCTCTGCATTCATTAGATGGGGTATTCTATTTAAAAAAATCTCTTATCACTGGTTGGTACCCTAAAATAAAAACTATACAGGACAAAGAGGATAAATGTTTTATTATTTCTCTTAATGAATCTTCAGAATAATAAATTGGTTCCCTAATAGTCTCCAACAGGAATCAGTGATATATAGCATGGTTAGTATCGTTATGAGCTCATGTCATATTTTATACAGAGTTATCTCAGCCC